TTGTTTAGTGCTTTGCTAGCCTAGCATGTGCTCACAGCTCCATGTGCTCTCAGAGTAGTCTGACAGATTTTGTGTGTCTCTAAGTGCACTTTTTGTGTGCAGCTAAGCGTTGATGAAACAGTTCTCATCTTGTGATTCGTAATGTAAATGTGGGTCTTTCTAATTGTCCGTGTGCCTGAATTACTGCGTGTGAGGCAGTATCCTGCGTATTTTTTTGTGGCAGCTCTTTATCCAGGGCAATTCCTGCTGCTTTTAGTTCAACCTGTTTGTATACAACTGTTGTTTGGACCTTTAAAAGGACAAAAAAGCATTCTTGCAAACCATTTCACAAGTTACCAGCTGATGATCATGAGATCAAACTAACCCAGGATAAAAACAAAATGTAGTTAAATCAGTCATTCATGTCTTGAAACAAAACTGTAATTCAGTTTTTGACCATTCTTCTGGGAGTAATGTAACATTTTAGTCATGACAAAATAAGGGCAGTTCAGCTGAGAAGTGCGTGACTAGAAGCTTCTTCCTTCATTATTATTCCCTGTTGATGGTTTGAGAAAAAAAAATCAGAACGAAGGGGAACAATTCCAGGTGCGTGTCTTTCTACATGTGCATTTATATATGTATATCTTACATGTCCAATGGATGGGAGGGCATAAAAGGACTTTATCTGTAATTGAAGTGCTATATCAGCCACTGAATTCTCTTACTGTTTCCTAGCTGTTAGAAGCAGTTATAGTTCAAGTCTGGACTACAGGACTTGTCAGACTATAGCAGAGATGACAATTTAATCTCTTAATCCTTCTTGCTCTTTAGACTTTCTCAGAAGAAACCTGAGAAGAAATCCATCCCCATAGTGGTGGCTTTCTCCTGTTATGGTGGACTAAATGCTTCTGCTATAGCTGCCTCCAGGTAGGCTCCTCTGTCATCCTCCGCATACCCTTGCGAATGCTCCATTCTTTCCCCTGTTGCCAGCTCATTTGTTTTTATAAATGCACTTCACTAGTCCCAGAAGTAGTGGTAGTTAAAGTGGAATTGGTCAGGTGCTCAGTTCTGAGCCCAGGTCTAGCTCATTTGTGGAGGATTGTACAATTGCGGTTTTAGCAGAAAGCAGCCACTAACTTTTCTCCCTCGCCTTTTTTTTTTTCTCTTGGTACAGTGCACGCGGTGTATGTGCTTGGTAACTTGATTGCTTTTCGTACTTTTCTCTGCCCTTCTTTCTTACGCAAAATAACTCTCTGACATATGCACACAGTTGAATGCTTATTGTGGCCACTTTCACTTACACTTCAGTAACACTTTCTGCAAGAAGCACTGTAGAGATCTTTGGTTTTGTCATTGTTCACAAGAATATAGCTCAGCTTCGGAGAAGACATTTCTTGGCATCTGTTAAAATGGGAGTGTTGAAGGATTTATAAATGTGTACTCTGAAGTGTAAAAGTGTGTTTATTGTCTGAGTAGTAAAACATGAACTTGGCTGATTTTTATGTTAGAATGAGGATGAAAACCTATCAGAAAACACCTGCATAAAGGCAGGTGGGTCTATACTTGTCATGTTAAGCTAGTTAATATCACTAGAAAGTTTAGCCAAACTTCAGATACCTTTCATCTTTGTTTTGCTGAAAGATCATTTTGCAGGCAGATCTACTTGACAAACCAAGCTGAACTTTTTAGATTGTTCTCAATTAAAATGCTCTTTTGCATTACCTCACTTAGGGAAAAGTTAGGCTCTTGAAGTTAATGCTCCACCTTTTGCTGTCTCAGAAATCCCAACTACAACATTAGAAAGTTCTTTGGAAATGACAGTGTTTGGTAAAGGCTGTCACTAGATTGTTCTCTCTTTTGAAGAGTCTGACTTGTACAGATCTAGGGAAATTAATTATTTAGACTTTGAGCTGGATCAACAGTTGTTATACATCGTATAGCTTGCATCCAGGATACATTGAATCTGTAATGTCTTGATCTGTGTATAATTTGTGGCGGTGATACCATAGCTTTGCCTTAACTATTTGTGGTTTTTACCGCTCATGTGAGCGATTGCTGTTCTGCAGGATGGTGTGAAACATTAGCATATCTTAGAAAGATTGGATATATGTTGTAGGATGGAAATGGCCTTTGAATTAGTCTCGCATCTGGCATTCCACACTGGCCTGTTACTAGATGTTTCAAAAGGAAATGGGAAATGCTTGCAAAGAACAAATACCAAAGTGCCTTTTGAGGGAAAAAGTTTCTCCAAATGATGTATTAGCTAATTTGCATCCTGCAGTGTAAGATTACATTCATACCTTTTCTTTCTCTTCTTTAACTTTAGCTGTTAATATTACTGATCTAAATGCTTATCCTTTAGGCAACCTTACTAAACATCTTAATTCTCTAACATCTTGTTGAGTGAGTTCTGTATCTTAGCTTTGTATATTAAAAAAAATAAATAAATAAAAATCCTCTAGCAGTTTTAAGTTTGGTGTCTAGTAATTTCATTTGCTGTTTGGCTTTGGAAATCAGCAGTCCAGGTTTAAATCGTCCTTTAAAATATTACAATGATTGCCTATTAGAATTTTCATCTTGTCCTCATTCTTACTTGTTCTGTAGAAGTTGTCTTAATTCATTCACTAGATCATTATGAATTACATTCTGCTTTGGGAGACCAGGTTTCTCAGAGCTGCATTTAGATCCAATAAGGATCTGAGGGAAGCACTGTGGGTTCTAGTAATTATTTATTCTTGAGCAGCAGAAATCTTTTATATACAATAATGTAAATTATTAGTTGCTTGTTCAGTTCCAATTGACTGAAAATGGGTAATCCATGGCATACAGAACACATTTCTTACGGCATGGTCTTTTGCTAAATTGATGTTCTGATTTCAGCATGAAATAGAATTCATACATGGATTAGTTCTTTTATTCTTTTCTCATGTTAATTTTATAATTTCTGTGGGAATCTGTGTGTGTGCATTTTTCCGCCCTTGTGTTCAAGCTCCATATTGAGGGGAGCTATGCTAATATGTATAAACTAAAAGAGCTCAGGAAGAGCCGTGCTTTAGTAAGAATCAGAGTGACTAACACAGATGATGTATTGACTTTGAACCTTTGGCAAGGTTCCCATTGAAGTGATTATATGCTTTTGCATTGTCCCTTAGCAGCAGGAAATCCTATCTGCCTTTGCTGAGGCTCAACTAAATTACACAAAAGGATGGAAAAAATTTTGCTTCTTAGTGTATATGATGGTGTACAGCTAAGCAAAGTTGGGTTCTGAACCTTAACCTGGATAACGTGCTGAACAAAGCACTTCGTCAACCCAGACAGAGAACAGGAAACTTTAACTGGCCAAGTTTTGTTTTATGTCAGTAATTTTTTTTTCTGCATTTTATGGTTTAAAGATTGACGTTATATGCAGGGTTTTGCCTCATGAAAATCAATCACTCAGTTAATGAAAAAAGAAAATCTGTATGAAGTCATTTAGGCTTTTTTGACCTACAAAAACATTCAGAAAACAGATCATAATGCACTGCTCTTGGTGCTCTTGAAGTAATTAAATCAAAATTTGACCACTGTTAAATCCAAATAACTTTATATACTACAAACAAAGGCCAGTTCTGAATGTTAATCCACTTTGACTGAACTCCTTAGCTCATAAATGTTATGATGAAGACCAGTAGTTTAAAAGGGAGATCAAGGGGGAGGTGTTTCAAAATACTAATATATTAAAAACTGAAGAAAATTTTTGTGATAGAAAAGACAGACCTGCAGAAAGCTGAACTAGTATATATGCTTTTTATGTCTGAGGATCTTGAAAATGGTAAAGTGAGAGTGCTAAGGAAGTGATTTAAAAGGTTTACATTACTGCTATCTGCTGAGGTGTAAAATGTTGTAATACTCACAAAATCTTTGGAATTTGTTTGAATACCACTTATACATAAGTATGTACTTTTCTCTTTCTATAAATAGTGATTTTGTGCTGCCTAATGTTGCTGCCATGACTGTTAGTTTGCTTCTGTAAAAGAAATCATGGAAGTAATTTAGCTATCGGTAGGTAGAATTGGGATAAGAGGGCTTCTACCCACATCCTCTGAACACAGCACGAGCAGATTTCTGCTTAACTCCAGACATGCTAATATTCAGACATGTACAATGCTCAGACTGAGATGGGATTTAGAATAGCTGTCAGTCTTCATATATTACATTTCTTGATTTTTTTCAGTCATTTTGTCTGATATTCTAAGTCTTTCCCTTTTTTCTCCATCCAGGAGGCTGAACAGAATTGACCAGGACTATATCTTGCAAATTATACCCACTTTCATTGTAGGTCCCAGATCACTGGCAATCGATGACTTTTACCACTTGCTGTGAAACTTTGATGCTCCTGGCTTCTTGGTTTCAGAGCTCTGTCATGGAAAGTCACCACAGTTGGCCTGCAGTATTGTCTAGTAACATTAACAAATGACTGCTAATAAGATACTTGCTCTGTCATTTGCCATGTTGTGAGAGTACAGCCCAGAGGCCCTGCTGATAGAGCTAAAGGAAAAGAAGATGTTGGTTAAGAAATTGAAAAAGAAGGAAAATAAAATAGATTCCTAGAATAATGTCTATAAACAGTAGATGTGATGGTGGCTCTGTTTACCATCTGCAATACGGCACTTCCCTTTTTGGATGCATAATAATATTTTTGTCCTTTATTCTTTGTAGTGACTATGTTATACTTGAGTTCTGTAGTTCAGTTAGATAATAAAATGTATTAAGATTGGTGAGAAAATTTTACAAATGTTTTATTTTCCTTTGTGAGCATTATTTTTGTGAGCAGAAAATGTAGTTCAGGTGCTTGGCTAAAGAATTTTGTGCTTATTTAGAATCCATAAATAAATAATAAAGCTGTGTGCTGCATTATGCATCGTCCTTACTATATTACTATTTTTCCATACCAACTTACTACAGAAGCTTTGATGTCATTGTTTTACATATGCTTTGTGGCAGATATTTTCATGTTTCCTTTTTCTTTTCTCTTTCATTAGACGTTTGCTGACCAGGTATTTGGTATCTTCAGCTGGACAATTCCCATTGCTGTAGCCTTTTCTTGTTTTGGTGGACTTAATGCTTCAATTCTAGCATCATCAAGGTAGTGCATATCTCCTTCTGTTTGACCAATGTTCATAAGTATTTTTACATGTTACTGTTATGCTTATCTATTATGAGTGGCAAAAATACTTTGGTAACCGAACCTGTAATGAATAGCCACAACAAAATAACAGACCTAAATAAACCTCTGTGTGTGTGTACATATACCCTTAACACTGCCTTACTTCCCCAAACTGTTCCTAACTGTATGCAGAGTACATTTAAAGATCAAATGAATGTTGTCTGTGTGGTGAGTCCTCAGGCCTTCTGATTATTGGGATTCAGTTATCTTCCATTTTACTTGATACAGTAATTCTAGCAAGTTCTTGTTTTCAAATGTATTTGCTTAAAACTTACTGACTTTTAAAATCAGTATCTTTAAGGTTTTTTTCCAAGTAACAAGTTTTAAAAGTTGCTGCTGCTATTAAGCTGCAGTCAAAAAGCTTAGGATACGGTATAGAAGCTTTCCTCTGAGCACTGATTATGGATGTGACTAGTGAAAGTTTTAAATAGATTTATTAAGGCATTTTAAGACCCTTCCTGTCCATTGAATGTATGCACAATGCCTCTGTACTGAGAACAAATATGAACATGATCTAGTGAAGCAGTTAATATGGAACAATTTGCAGTTTATAATAAAATTATGTGTGTGTGGTTTTTTGAGCACGTGGTTGAATGACCTTTTTTTAGAGACTTGCAATCTCTTCTGGTTGGCATTAAAAACTGCTGTAAGGTGGAATGTTTTCAGTGCTAGCTTTTAGAATTTTTTTAAACAATATAAATTTTTTTTCAGTTACTATAGATGTTTTCTATTTTACCTGTAGGATTGTTTTTTTTTAAATAGGTGTTAATAGCATGTTTCTAAAAGCTTATATATTTTTAAATGGTGGTTGTACAGTACATCTTTACAAAAAGGGTTGAATCCATGTTCCAGTTTAAAGGATGGAAATTCAGTGGTGTCAATACTTATTTTGACTGGTATTCTTTGATTTTCTGTAATCTCTCTCACCTGTGGCCTCAGCATCTGTTTTCTGACTATCTTTTTTTTCAGGCTATTTTTTGTAGGATCTCGAGAAGGTCACCTTCCTGATCTGTTGTCTATGATCCACGTAGTGAGGTTCACACCTGTGCCAGCACTGCTCTTTAATGTAAGTTATTACTGCTTTTCTTTTCAGCTGTTCAATGTGACTGTATGAATTATTTAAAGGAAAACTTTAAAAAAAAAAAATCACTAGAGACAACTTCAGATTTAGTGTCATCGAGGTGATTTCTGAGAGTGTGATTTTTGAGGCATAAAATCATGCCAAACACCAAGGAGTATAAGGTGTTACTTTAAGGCAAAAAGCAGCATCAACAGTAAGTTTCAAACTTCTATTGGTCATCTTGCTCTTTTTCTTTTCTGACAGTGTGCTATGACCCTTATTTACCTGGCTGTGGAAGATGTTTTCAAGCTTATTAATTACTTCAGTTTCAGTTACTGGTTTTTTGTTGGTCTGTCTATTGCTGGGCAATTATATCTACGTTGGAAGGAACCAGATCGACATAGGCCTCTTAAGGTAATATTTACTTATTATGGGGTTGTTTAAAATCCCTGTCTTCCACATAATGTAAAAGTACTGTCTAAAATCTGGACCATACATGTTGTATCTAAAGGTTACAAATTGATCAGGACATAAAACATAGCTTCCATTTTATACTGTACCATGAAAGCTAGCTTGTCTGCTAGATAAGAATAAGTGTTGTAATAGTATACTCCTTTATTGTACATTAGTTCAATCAGTACCCCTTCTCTCTGTCAACTGGAGAATGTCTCAATAGGCTAACATAGTCATTAGTCTTTCTTCTAGGATTAGAAGTCTCTAATTAGAAATGCTTAAGTTAATTCTGTCGGTGTCGACCATATTTAGCTCTGATGGTGTTTCAGTTCAATATCTGATCCTTTTATCACCTTCTCATACTTGAAGTTGATACTCTGCAAGAAAAAGTCATTCTTGTTTCCTGAGGTTTTTTGGATTTGTCTAAAAACACTTCATGCTGCTATACAGTTTCTTTCAACGCAGCAGAGTTACCATACTTGATTACTTTTGCAATTTGTAGCAGCAGTTCTGTCCAAGAAGAATTCTGCAATTTTCTTATGGTTCCAAATAGCCAGATATATAAGAAGAAAAGCTGATAACTTCATAAAGTGGGGTTGAGAGGGAAAAGTCTGTCAGTCTCACCAAAACGTTTGTAACTGCAATGAATATTTCGGTAACATTCTGTTCTGTTTTTCTGTCTCCAGCTGAGTGTGGCTTTCCCAATAATATTCTGTATATGCACAGTATTTCTGGTGGTAGTGCCACTCTATAGTGACACTTTAAATTCATTGATTGGAATTGCCATTGCTTTATCTGGAATTCCAGTCTTTTTCTTGGGAGTCTATTTACCTGCATCAAGGAGACCTCAGTTTATCAACAAGATTTTAGGTAAGTTTCTTTGTAGATAGAGATGTTCTTAGGAAAGAGGAAAATTAAATGAGTGACTCTCGGTTTGTTGATGAAAAGGGTTGTGGTCAGCTGACCCCAGCCAGCAGCTAAGTACCCACAGAGCTTGCTCACCAGTAACCCCCAGCAGGATGAAGGAGAGACTAGGAAGGACAAAGGTGAGAAGACTTGTTGGTCAAGATAAAGACAGTTTAGTAAGTGAAGGAAAGAGGGGAAAAAAACGTGCTGCTGCAAAGGCAATCACTTGCCGCGTCCCACAAGCAGACGGATGTGCAACCAGTCTCCAACACTGGCCACCTTGGAAGACACCCTCCCACATGCACACACTTCTTCCTCTACCTGTTCTTATTGCTGAGCATAACATTATATGATGTGAAATATCCCTTTGCCTAATTTGGGTCAGCTGTTCTGGCCGTTACCCCTGTGAACTTCCTGCCCCTCCCTATTCTGCTGGTTGCAGGGGGGGTAGAGTGGGAGGAAAAGAAAAAGCCTTGATGCTGTGCAAACACTGTTCAGCAATAGCCAAAACATCGGTGTTATGAACCCTGTTTGAGCCACAAATCCAAAACACGGCACCATGTGGGCTGCTATGAAGAATGTTAACTGCATCCCAGCCAGACCCAGTGAAGGTGTATACTGATTTTATAGATATGTATTTACACCCGAATTGTATTTACTGTATATTGAAAAGACCATCCACTTTCTACAGATTTTTGTCCTCAGTTTTTGTACATTTCTCTTTAGTCAAGCACGTGAAAAGTCTTTTTCTTAAGTAAGGCTGATGACTGTAAAAGGGCTGGACATTCTTGGTAATGCAAGCTAACTGTCTTGCTTTATTGAATCAGTTGTTTGAAGATGGATAGATTTTATGTCAGTCACAGATGGAATTTTGCCTTCTATTGAATTACTGCAGTTAAATTATATATTTTTCTCCAGCAGTGCACTGTCGTCACTGTTACTATGTAATAAAACCATGATGAGGGATGTGGAAAGGAAGGTTTGTAGCATAATCTTAGAATGCAAGAGGATGAGCAACAACTAGTGAATATGTAAATACTTAGCACACAGGGAAGTGACAATATTGCTATTTGTTTTCTTTTTTTATTCTACCAATGTTACACTTTTAATTATAGAATAAAAAGATTTTACTTCAGTTACTTGGCAGGGTGCCTAAGAAGAAAAACACCTTAGGATATCAACGGAACAGTTTTAAACATTGTTTTTAAAAAAAATGAGTGGAAGACACTTTCTGTATTAACTTTTATGATTTGTTTTCCTTAAGAGAAGCGAGGCAGCATTCTTGACAGCTAAGTTTCATTAGTCTGATGCATGTTGTATAATTAGACTTGAGAGAGGAGGCTATTCTGATTTTTCTCCAATTTCCTATGCAGGTGCAGTCACACGAAACATGCAGATGCTCTGTTACTGTGTTTTAACAGAGATGGACCCAAATGAAGAAAAGAAGTTAGAAATCAAATCTAACTAAAATTTCAAAGCCATTACAAGAAACAGGAGGGAGGATAAAGCAATTATGACAACAAAAGGGAAGAGATGGAACTGGAAAAAACGGGAAAACTGTTTCCAGTGGTCTTTCAGAAACACTATAAATGTACTTACTTGCAGTTGGATTCCTACACAGATCGTGCCCTCGTGTCACCCTCCCACACTGTGGCATATTTTCAGGGTGTGTTCTCATGGGATGATCACCTACTCATTTCAGGCACACAAGCTATGTGTCAATACTGTTCCTTCTTCAGAATTGGTATTAAAATGGTTAAGAGCTAATGGATCAAAATGGATTTCTGCAGAACCAGGCGGTGAAGTAATGCATTTTTAAGGTAGACTGAAAACCACTTTGACTCAAAAGACCAAAAGTCATTTCCAGCTTAATTCTGATGGATGTTTGCATGAAATGATTTGCTGTGCTATCTCAGTTCTTATCCCAGAAGGCAAATGGTTACAACAAACTACCTAGTTTTTCATTATTAGCAGAAAAATGAATAAAGTTGTGCTACATTATTTAAAGACTGAACCAACCTTTCCCCCTTAAAGAGAAGTATTTTATTCTGTATGCTATGTGAAAATGTGGTATCTGACTGTGGCAAGGATTTAATCAACAAAGCACCTTGGCATTAAAGATTTGATTAACATTTGATGATTCTTTCCTGTTAGCTTGTTAGTACTTGGTCAACTTCTGATAGGCTTTATGAAACTCCCAAAATTAAAATGTAAGCATTTGTTTTTGAACCGTTTCGGTGAACACACATTAGCAGCATTACCTCAGCAGTCAGAAGATTCTCTTTCTAAATGTCAATGCTGTTCACTAGAAAAAAATCTCACAGAACAAACCACTTTTTTTTTTTTTATTCTGTAGCAGAAGTAAAGTTCTGTGGCAGCAACTATACCTTGAAAGCTAAGTAGCAGAGAGAGAAAATAGGAATATAAACAGAAATAAGAAGTAGTATTGCAATAGACTGCTGCTAATTAGTAGTATTTGTAATTCCAAAGCCATAAGACTGACATCAGGACACTTTGATACTAAATTTTGGTGCAGCAAAAGTTAACATGAAGCCATCCTATTCAGCAAGCAGATTGGCATATAATTCAAAAACATACCTGGAATTTTTATCTTGGTTCAGAACGTTTACCTCAGTTGATCTGAGTTTGTCCACGTGCAGTTTTTTGTGCATTTAAGTAGAAATAAATCTTGTCATCACAAGATTATAGCTGAAGCAATGCACACTTCAGCTGCTGCACCACATTTGCATCAGCCACTTGAATAACAGTGAGAATATTTCGATTCTTCCACTGACTCCCTGACCAAGGTTATCTTAAAAAGCTACAGATAATGGCAAATGGTAGTACATGGTGAAGACTTAACATATAACATGGAGTCTTGGGCTACCTTTATGACACAGCATTGGAATTTAAGATAAATTCTAGCTGAGGAACTTTGTGCCAACTGTGCGCACAAACATGCAGGGTCTTTTCAGTATTTAATGAAAAATAGCATTTAGCTATTACAATACAGTTTTTTAATCTTGCATAGGATTAGAATGAATTCAGTATCTAAGTTGAGACATCTGTTCAGTGGGCAAGCATAGCTTTAACAGGCTAGGGTTGTGGCATAGGTTAACAGCCATTTAAAACAAAGGAAAAAAAATTTTACCTCCACTACCTTGACATCACCTGTCAGGACTAACTGACCTGAAGTCACTGCTGTAACCCACAGCTCATGAATGACATTGGTCTAACATCCTGTTAGCTATTTTTGACAGACTCAAGTAGAAGAACACTGAAATACTTTGCCCAAACAGGCAAGATTAAATTGTTTCAAAGATGTACAAATGCAAGTTAAAATGGTGACATGGTACAGCTGTACCAACTCCTATGATCTTTAAATGAGTAAAGAAAACTTAGTCAAAGATTCTTTATTTACAATTTAAATGCACATATATTGTTCTACTCCAATAGTAAAATTACTGGAGGGAGATCCAGCAATAAAGTGGACAGGTCAAGGCATTTCATGTGCTCAAACACATGTAAAGAAGGTAACTTGAAACTTAGGAACAAATACAGTAGAAAGCACTAGGACAGAGTGCCTTTTTCCAGGACTTCCACTTGCCATCACGGCAGACAGGCTGATCTTCTTGTGAAACCTGACATATTAGTGATGACCAGAAGGGATGCTGCCAAGAGTGCCTGCATATATAACGTGGAGGTACTGTCAGTACAGATACAAATGCTTGGGCATGCAGCTTTATCAAAAAAACCAAACAAACCCCCCCAAAACAGCCCCAAAAAGTTCCTTCAGAACCTCAGCATCACAGAATGGGCAGAAAAATCTATTTTAAAGCATATAGTATCTTTTGCTTGGAACAAAAATTTGTATTGTCAAGTGGCCATATTCACACTCATCTGTTTAATATCTACCAGCTGAGGTTCGCTGCCTAGATAGTAAAAGGTTTTAGCATTTACTGAAATCCCAGTCTAGCATCTAATACTCAGGTCTACTCAGTAAGCATTAGGGTGAACCATGCTAGTCAGCAACAGTTTCAGAAGGCCAGACAGGAAAAATTTAGCTTAAAGCTCAGCCATGTAAAGATTGGTCTCCTACTGTCCCAATGAGGACAAACTTTTACCATAAAGTGGTCTTCCAGTGTTTTTTTTTGTGGTGTTCTTTTTGTTAGTGGGGGGTTTTTTTCAGTTTAATATTCCTATGATAGTCATCAGCAGCTGTCTGGATTTTCAGTTCGTCTGCAACAGCAGAATTTCATCTTCAGTATGCATTTCATCTTCAAAAAAGGGCTGTTAGTCAGAATCCAAATCCTGGATTTCATCATATCCAAATTCTTGTAGAACCTCCTGTCGGTATTTGTTCCATGTTCTTCTCCTGTAACACTGGTCCTCATCACTGAAGCTCTCTTCAGACTCTAAAGAGCGAGCATCAACACTTTTAGATTATCCCTTCTTTTTAGTTGAACAATTAGGTTAATCAGACTACTTTAAGCTTCTTGAGTAACTAACAAATACAAAGTCTGAACAACCTCTATATTAGGTGAGGTTTGAATTGTGCTTGGAGTACACTGGGATGGGGAGTTAAGAAAGCAGAGGCAGTGTTTCACAAGCACATGGAAACAAGTCATCGATTCCTTCTCAAAACAAGTAATCCTTTGCAAATTGCAGCAGCCTGAAATGGAGTACTTAATTTTGACTTGGCAAAAACACTAAGATCCCTTGTAGTTCCAAGAAAGATGATCCTTCTCTAAGCAGATTTAAACCATTATAAGAGTAAAACACTACCCCAGCAGTGCTGAGTTGCTTTTTTAGAGATGGCATGTAAAAAGGATGGGATTTATATGTGCACAGCATGAAAGCAAACAGTATTTATGAGAGGCATACCTTTTTCTCCATCACCATCTTCCTCAGGCAAGAATTCATCTTCATCAGGATAATCATTACGCCAGTTATTTTCATCATTTTCATCATCTTCATCTTCATATGTTTCCCCTGGAACATTATCATCATCTACCTGCATGTCAACACAAAACATAACAGGCACTATAAATAGAGACACTTGGCATTAAACAGTTTTTCATCCACCTATACAATACTATCCAGATCATAAAGAACCAAAAGATACTTATCTACTGCATGCCTAAGTAATTCTGCAGTTGCACAAAGCACACTGCAGAAAAATTTGTGTTGTCAGAGTATTCACCATAACATAGCAATCTGCTTTAGGTGAAAAATCAGTTAAGCCATGCATTTACATGTTCCCCTTCAGCATTTAAATGCTAAGGTTAATGTCTAAATTAATCGTGCTCGCTTCAGTAGCAGTGTAATAGATCAAGGAAAAGAAAAAGTAGCATCAGGCTCCCGATACGCAAGTCTATTGATCACAGTATCTATACAATGAAAGACTGAAGCTTACATTTAATTTCCTAATGCCGATTCACTGAAGGACAATTCTATTACAAGAAAATATCTCTTACTAAGATTAAAATCAAGTCCTCAAATATGGAAAAAGTTGTGTGTCCCGCTTTGCTCCTTTTTTCACTCAACCATATTTACAACTACATTTTAATCGCTGCCTCCTAATCGCAAATGAGATGTGAATTACTTAAGTTTACATTTGTGTGCCAAAATTTATTTGGCAATTTCAAGCCAGACAAATTCTTCCCAGTACACAAGCGCTGTTCCTTCAGTTTTCATTGTTGTATCATAATTGTCTTGAATCAACAGTAACCTGCGGGAACACAGGACTGGCAGTTACAAAAAGCCTAAACAGAAGTCACTGAGCATGTGTGTAGTATCTCAAAGGATCTTTCTTGGCATGGCAACTTTTTTAATGACCGGACTTTAAGCATGTTTATTTATGACCTTTCTATTTAAGAAAGATCTGTTTTCCCACACCCTTACCAGTTCATATTCTTCTCTGTAGGGCTGTACAGAAAGGATATTTTGGATCCAACCAAGGGCTGATGTTTCCATACAGTAGATGTCATAAACATACTCATCTTCTTTCTCATGGTGTTCTTTTTTACCATCTTCAGAAACATTTAAACGCTCACGGATCATCTCTACTGCATTGCAAAGAATCACATCTGGATCAGTCTTCTGCTAAGAAAAAATAAAAAATGCTTATTTCCACTGAAGCTATGCACACAGTCTTAGTTACAGCCAACAGTTTTCTTTGTAGACAGTAGCAAACAGCTAGCTAAGGATGACATTCTGAAATCTTAGACTGAAACACTTTCCCATTGGAACGTGGATCCTTGGAACATTAGCAACCTAGAACAGAAAGTCACCAAAGAGTTTTCCAATTACTGTAGTACTGTGCAGCCATGCCTTGTTGCAGATAATAGGAGAAAACTTCTGGGACGAGTTCATTAGAAACTATTGAAGCGGATATGACTAATCCTGTAGAACCGTTCGTCTGTTTCTGATGACGTGCTGGTTGAAGAGCCAAGTCTTAAGACAGCCTGTGCTTTGTAGAGCATTACACTTGCAACCCTGCAGGAAAGATGTGCATACAGTAGCGCGGATAATGTGCAAGCAGATTACAGTATACAAAGTGTGCAGGAGAAACACTGAAAATGTGACAGATTAACCAGAAAAGGCTGACAGGCCCTACAGATAATGCTTTTTATTTCTTTTATTTCCTCATTCCTTCAACATTAACACAGAAGAAATTTTGTCATGCTTTCTCCTTTTTAATAAATTATTTACAATGTGTTTGCCTTAGTGACCCACACTTGAAGGTCTACACAGGCAGGTTTCTGCTGCCGATTTTTCTCTGCTAGGTAGCTTTTCAGAATATCTTGTCCAATCCACAGGGGTGTCTCCTGAACTACACTTAAGTAGTTCTGAGGAACAGCTACAGACCAACCTTTCATTCACTCCTAAATACCTACAGAATGAAAAAAAAAAGCTTATTTCTTGCTTTCAACACTTACTGCTAGCTCTAAAAGAGTAAGGAAAATTCTGATGATACCTCAGTTTCATTTCTGTTTTTCTAATCAGCAGTGATAGATAACAGTTATTGAGAAAGCAAGAGTTCATACTAAAGTTTGATGGCAAAGCCCTGAAATAACCTGTAAGAAACACTGAAGGATGACAGTTGGTTGGGCTCTTCCTCACCTGGGATCTTCTTTAATATTAAGCATTTATGTTTTCCTCAGAGCTGTGATGGGCTGCATAAGTAAAGTATCCACGTGTACTTACATACAGTGAGGGAACTACTAAAGAAAGCATACACATCCCTCTTACCTTCTTTTCCGTATGGTTACGAGTCTCTAATACAAAATCTTCTTAACACTCTGTATGCAGGGCAACCCTATACATAGGATATAGGAAGCAGAGCTTCTTCATACTTAAAAGGATACATGCTACATATTGAGTAGATATTCCTCTGACTGAAAACACTTAACTCATAATACCAACGAAAACAGGGCGTAGGGGCTTAAGCAGCCTGTCAAACACCTACAATTCTGCTAAAACCAAAATATACAATAAAACCTTATATTGGAATTATGAGAAGGGGAGGCTCAAAAGTATCTTTTCCTTTAGTGAATCTTGTCTACAAGTGACATTCCTAGGCATCTGGGCAGATGAGAAGACATTGATTAGATTTTTGTTCTCTAGGTAGAGAAGTAGTTAATAAAAAAACTCTGAGATCCACCTGACAGATGAACGTGAGAATTCATACATCAGAACAGGGCACAGAAAAAACAAGGCGGTACAAGGCCCTCCTGTAGCAGCCAACTCCACAAGGCTGGCTGTCTCAACAACTCTACTGCACTTGAGGATCCTCATGAAAGTTACTCCCTGTACAATATTCCAACTTGCAAATATCTAGTTAAAGCTCCTATTAAATAGTGGAATACTTACAATGCAAAAAAACTTCCACAGCAGTCAGTTTGCCCACATGTACCAGTGAACAGTGATATCAAAGTACTTCAAGTATACTAAGTTCGTTTGCTGACCTGTGGGTTTGCAGCAGTTACACTGGAGTCTCCCACCACCTCCTCTTCTTGAACAATATCAAACAACTGGAATTTCCCACAGCAGTCTGAACTCTTATCAACAGCACTGGTCTCCTTTTGTGAAGCATCTTCTGTTGCTTCAGATTCTGATCTGTCACCATCAATCGATGCCCCACCATTTATGGCAGGCACAACTGTTTCAGTACAGTTAGGTCGATGGCTGGCTATTACACGATAACGGTTTTCCTTCCTTTTCACTTGCTTGGAAGAACGGAGTTCCTGAATGATTCGCTGAGTGCTTCCTAAAGAGGGTCGCAGACTTTGAGCTGCTTTGTCTCGAGTGATCACTTCTTGAACGTATTTCTGAACTGGTTCATTCTGTACAGAGGAACAAAAAGAAGGAGGACTATAATGACACCATCAACATAGTTAAGTCATACTCCTTCCGAGAAGTGATTAATAACTGCTATTACTGGCGCTTCCTATTTGAGGGCTGCAGTACCAATGTTCCGAACAACATTCAAGTAACTTCTACTACTGCTTGAAGCAACACAGCTATCATAATATTCTCTTGATACGGGGGAAAAAGTATAAGGTATTTGTAAATTGTATGACTGTTTCAATTTGATTTTTAAACAATATACTTCGTGGTACAGAATAACCCTCCAAACTAAACCACATGCCTTTAGAAGACTGTGATGGTCCTGTATTTAAGGCATAATAGTCTTTACTCTCCTATAAAGGCAGTTCCCAAGAAAGACCAGTTTTATTCAATATAAAAGGCTGTACAGCAGATGGAAGCTGTTAGTCTCGTAGGGCTGAGCTTCAGCACCTCAAAGAGCAGAAATTCAGTCTTCCCTTACTGGCTTTTCTGTAGTCTCTACGTGAAGAACAGCCTATAAGCATAGAAAAGTCAGTGCTGAAGACAGCTTTTCACTGTGGTTACTCTGGGCTATGTTCCTTAACTAACAACCTTAACTAACAGCCTGCTTTGCAGGCAAGTATGCTGCTGCACAACCGGCCAGTCAGGCAGTAGGGAAGAGAAGGCCGCCGAAGCCCCGTGTG